TACAAGAAAAGTTGTGAGTAGTTAACATCCAGAAGAACTCGTACTCATTCCAGGAAATTCAAGAAACTCATCTTTTATTGACCTCATATAAAATGGCTACCCCCAGTGATTTTATAAAGAAAAATGTACCTGGCGAAGTGAAACAGCATTAAGAAATGGACTCCAAAAGATGGATGATCAAAATATGTGTCAATAAAAATTAAAAAAAAACCAATTAGTATTTACATTGTTCACAAACCGCTGTAATCAGTCCATTCGATTTTATGCATACTGAAAGACAGCACTAAATAAGAAAGATACAACATTATACACGAGTTATAACAAATACGGTAAACATAACATTGAAAAAACTGGACACTCTTCCCACCAACAGACAATGATGCATTATCACTGACATCAGTATACGATAGACAACTGGGAAGATATTAAAATTCAGTATATTGAAGAAACTCTAGGAATATTACAGTATTTCTGGAAACATGACATTCAAGTCAGTCTACTGTAAAAATACATGGTAATATATATCCAATTTATCTATCTACACATAAATGACCCATCAATCATGTGGTTAGAGTCCAAACAAGCAAACAAACAAAACAGTTTACAAGAACACAATCACACATTTGAGACCTATAAATCTACAATGACAGCTAATCACAAACAAGACTATTATAAAGAAATGTTTTAATATTCATGGAATAATGGTTAACTTCACTTCTATATGTAGCAGATATTAATGATATTGTCCAGAATGACAAATAAACTTTTTGTGAATAAACCAGCTACATCAAAATAATCCTCTCCATTCATTCAATTACACATCATTTCAAGATAATGTATTTTTTAGTTTCTCTTCTTAATAAAGATTATTCTAAAATAAACTTCATTCAGTTTCTTGAAATCTAGTTGTACACATCAGCAGCCTTGGCAACAGTAGATCTCAACATACACAAAGGGAAAAGCAAGATTCTCCAATAAAACACAGCATGCACCAATCCTATCACAATTGTCGGAGAAGATTCGGAAGATGTAAAAACTTTTACATGTCTGGGCAGCATTATTAATGAACACAGCGGATCTGATGCTAATGTGAAGAGGCAGATCGGCAAAACAAGAGCAGCATATTTACAACTGAAGAACATCTGGAACTCAAATCAACTGTCAACCAACATCAAGGTCAGGATTTTCAATACAAATGTCAAAACAGATCTACTGTATGGGGAAGAAACCTGGAGAATTACCAAAGCCATCACCCAGAACATACAAGTGCATACTAACAGTTGTCTACGCAAAATACTTCGGATCCGTTGGCCAGACACTATCAGCAACAACCTACTATGGGAGAGAATAAATCAGATCCCAGCAGAAGATGAAATCAGGGAAAAGCAGTGGGACTGGATAGGACACATATTGAGGAAATCACCCAACTGCATCACAAAGCAAGCCCTCACATGGAATCTTCAAGGCCAAAGGAGGAGCAGAGGAAGACCAACGAACACATTAAGTTGATAAATGGAGGTAGACATGAGAAGAATGAACAACAATTGGATGGAACTAGAAGAGAAGGCCCAGGACATTGTGGGTTGGAGAATGCTTGTCAGCGACCTATGAGTAACAGGCGTAAGTAAGTAAGTAAGTAATTATACATATCAATCTATCATATACTAATAAAGAACACCTTTTCTATCAGTAATCAATATTCGTAGACGGTCACTTGAAGAAACATTTCATAGATTATAATAAAAAAAGAAGTAGTGTTAAGAGTAAATAGATGGATCATTATAAATTATGAGGTATACTAGTATTATTAATAATAATAGTAAGATTCATAATACCATCACCATCATGTAATTAAAATCATTTCATTCATTCATTCAGTATAAATAATTTATATCAAGTATAAATCAAATGTGATAATTCAAAAGTATAATTTTTATAGCCCCTTGAGATTAAACTGTGTCTCTACTATACTATACTGTACTATACTATACTATACTATATATATGGATTAAATTGTATCTATATACTCTTATTCTCCTAAGGGATTCGTCTCATAAACATTTACTCTACTTTTTTTTTCAAAAAAAAACAAGGAGAAGAACTATAGTCAATCTGTATGCAGCATCTATCTAACTATCAATAGTATGCTTGTATAATAAAGGGGATAATATTAATAAATAGTTATAATGATAAAATGCTTGGATAATTTTATCTATACAATTTACCTTGTATGTATATGTTTATGCATAGGGTAGTTTTAGTTTCCGCGTACTTTTAATCAACCATTGTGATTTAATTATAGAGGGAGAGAGCGAGAGATAGAGATATGGATGGATACATCCGCGTGCATACCTATTGTGCGTACGTACTCACTTAAATACAAATACTTAAACGATCTAATTAATAATTCAAACTTTATCATAAATTTTTATAATGTTTATAATCCTATTAAATTGTATTAATTCTTTTTTTCTAAAGGAATACAATCCTTATGGTTATATTATTGTAATATTAATTTCTATGTATAGGGATAAAGAGAGAGAGAGAGAGAGAGAGAGAGAAATGGTACAAGAGAGAGATAGAGAGAGAGTAAGGCAAAGGGGGAAGTAAAATGTGACATCTAAGTATTAATTAAGGAGTTCATTCTTTATTCAAGCTTATTACTTCAATTACTTCAGTAATCAATAAGTATGGTACTTAACGTATATATGTATATATAGTATGCTAACAGTTAAGTATAATATACAAAATTGATGGCTTTATATGTATATCTATACAACGTTTTTTTAATGATGAAACTTCAAGGTATCCAAAATAGTTCATACTTGAAGAAGAATATGGAAGGAACTCATGACAATGTGACAATAATATTTTTGTTAATCAAGTCAATCTTCTCAAAAAATGATAGTGACACCATAAAAATAGAAAGAAAGAAAGAAAGAGAGGGGATAGAGAGAATGTACTTTTAATAAAATAAGTTGATGTATGTATATATTCTTAACTTCGCTAGGAGCTCTTCTGATGTTATTGACAGTCCTAGGCTCCAGTAAAGGAAGAAGTCGAACGCAAGACCTTCAGAACTTGAAATGAATGTTTACGCATTAAAACAGCTAAACGAACGTCCACTGACATCATTCTCACATTAAACAATTTGAGATATTTTACAACTATCTTCCAAAAACATAAGTGAAAACTGTTTCAATCCTGACATGTCAAATTACCAACAACAACGAATTTTCACTAAAACCTCATTACTCACTAGTTTCCCGATTGAGCTCTAACTAAGATCAATTTGTGAAAAATAAGATTTACAACTTAAACTCATTAAATATATTAGTGAATTGTTAGATAAATAAGAAATACTATATTGAATTCTGTTAAATACCAGATGTAGAAATGTCTTATGTTAAGCGAAATTCTATGCATTACTTTAGATTGTTTTGTGGAGAGAGGACTGAATCAAAGCAGCCTTCGTTATAGAATGAATTACGTTTGCTATGGGTTTGTGGGGAGTATTGAGTTTTCGATTGAGATCATGAAAGGATCAGTGATAGACTACCATTGAAAACCTAGAAGGACTGGATGGCCGTTTCGTCCTAGTATGTGACTCCTAGGCAGTGCGCATCCACGATCCCGTTTGCGGGAATCGAATCTAGAATATTAACACCGTTGGATGCCGGCCAAGTGATCTAGAGGTTAGGCGTTCGCGCACAAGACTGAAGGTCCTGGGTACGAATTCCGCGTGCGAGATTATGGATGCGCACTGCTCATGAGTCCCATACTAGAATGAAACGGCCGCCTAGTGCTTCCAGTTTGTCAATGGTGATCTAACATTGATAGATTTGTGATTTCAATCAAATGCTATTGTTTTTTAGTAATTTTACACTTCTCAACAATAATTACTCAAAGTTGCTCATTCCAGTTTTACAGAGAGTACTAAATAAATCGGAATTCAATAGTCAATAAGTATTCGACGCTAATCATTATGTAATTGAGTACAATGGTCATTTTATAGCATCTTGTTAAGAACAATCATCTTCAAATAAGCTTAGTGTTATTGTGATTGTTTAAAGAATAGTTGTAATTTAAACAATGTCTGTGTTAACTTCCAATAATTATATTTCTATTACTCAATTTAAAACATAATGCATCATCAAGTACATTTCTTAGTATACAAGGGTTAGCAGCAGTACGTACTATTTGACTGAATTGAAGTAGAGTGTGTGTTATGTTCCTAACCTCGTAATTGATTGGTGCAAAGTTCAATAATTTAACAATCAAATTACTGTCATTACTGAGTAAAATTCTTTGTTCAGTTAGTCGTAAGCAACTTATGACATGAAACAGATGTGCATTGGTTTAAATCACCACTAAACGATAGTTGCTACTTTAATATAATAGTTTACTTTGAATATTGTGATGATCCTGTCGAGTTTATTTACTAAAACATCTATTCGCTTAATTCCTATAACGGCAAACAGGTCAGTTAGAGCCCATTAAGAGGTCTAAGATGAAATTCCTACGTCCAAGTTTAATAAGGTGCAACGAAAGTGGGGTATTTCCGTCAAGCAACCAGAATCTGGAGAGATGCCGTTAGACCACTTCTACCCTAGGTTTGATACATTTCATTCTAACCCACGGATCCCCTTCTTCTTCAGTAAGTCCTTTAAAGTATGCATTTAACACATTAAATAGTGCCTACAAAAAGGTACTATGTGACTAAGTAGCCCTCGGACTCTAAGATCATGCCCCCGAGCTTCCAAAACTACTCCTAATCTAGTTTTATTTCTAGATTTCCGAAGCAATTTTCCACGGTACGGTCGACTGAGAGGTAAAAACAACTCGCGAGAATATCTTGTTTGCAGTAGAATTTCCCCATCATTTCTTAATAAACTTCCCATTACTGATGAGTATATAACAAGGAAAAAAGAAACATACATTCATTCAAAGTATAGTAACCACCTTACCCCACCCTTGCAGCCACAATCCTGTTAACTTACTTGTTTAAATTGCTCTTCAAATGTCCATTGATGATTATTACCATGGGCTGAAGAATTGTCCATTTCTTCTCCTTCCATCTCTTCTTCACCTTCATCACTTTCCATTTCATCATTCTCTTCATCAACATCATCCATTGATGATAAATAAGTTAAATTATTTGATGAAACTAATCGATTATTCAACAGTTGATGTGGACTATTCGATCTCGATGAAAGCTGGGGTGGTGGTGATGTAGATGCATAATTACTTTTATTATTAGTAATTGTATTATAACCATCATTGTTTGAATGAATCGAATGAATTGGAGATGACGAATTACAACCGACTGATGATAGACTATTAATACTGACATTATTATTATTACAATTATTATGTTGGTGATGATGATGAGAGTGCGGATGATGAGTACCGCTCACCTTTGAATTTCTGTTTGGCGTTGAATTCAAAAATGCTAGTTGTTGTTGTTGTTTTGTTATGTGTGAACGTTGCGTATGTGCCGACGACGATGATGATGAAGGGGGTACAGGTGGTTGTAATGTTAGTGGTGGTGGTGGTGGATGCAAAGGAGTTGGTGGTGGTGATAATTGAGATATTCCATAAGATTTAGATAATAATGAATAATTTAACTGACTTAATTGATTACATGATGTTGGAAAACAACCAGTGGTTAACGCAGCCATTGCGGCAGCAGCTAACATTGGTGATATACAATTACTTAAACTATCTGAAGTCAATGTTGGAAATGATGTTGAATAATGATGGTTAGTTTGTTGATCAATTGAATAGGGATTATCATTGTCATCATCGTTATCATCATCATCGTCGTCATTGTTATTATCATCATTAGCATTATTCCGATCTACATGATTAACACCATCAATATCGTCTATATCACCGTTAGCTTCAGCACCATCAACACAATCATTTTTATATTCAACACCTTCTCTCTCCTCTTCTTCATCTTCATTATACTTTTTCCCTTCTACATCTAAGTCTTTACCTAATAGTTGTCTTTTTTGACATTCTTCATCACAATTCATCTCATGATCTGATGACATACTATAAGATGATAAATTTGGTTTATTGGATTGACGTCGGTGCTGTTGATGACTGTATCTTGATAATTTAACATTATATGAATTATCTTCAGTTGGCTGGATAATCATAAAGTTAAGAGAGGAAAAATAAATGAAAAATTATAAAAAAAATTGAAAAAAATGCTTAGATATTTGATGAGAGATTTGAAGTTCCTCACTTCAATCTCTGATGAAGTCATAAGGATGTGTTGCTGAGGTATCATATACAGAAACAAAACAGTTGAGAAACTATCTAGTTTAATAATATTTAAATAGTTATTCTAACAAATAGTTAACATTTAAATGTTTTAAGTTGTTAAGTCATAAACAGTATAAAATTAGAGTATAAGTAGGTAACATTTCAATATCTTTGATATGTGGTTAAGAGTGTAATCCAGGATGTGTTTCATCCTATATCAGATCAGTCAGCTAGATATTGATAGTATCACAATGATTATTCAAACTAAGTACTTTACGTTTCAAATGAACAACAAGTTATCTAGAAAGTTACCGAGTTCGATTCTGGATAACAACTACAGGAAATCCTGAACGTTTACTAATAAATGAACAACACTCAGTATAAAAAAGTAGGGTAAGAAGTAAAACAATTAGGGTAATGTTGTGAATCATAGTAAATAAGTAAGAATTCATCATTATCATCAATAACGTTCTCAAGGTTTGTAAGTCATCGTTTGTTAAAAAGTAACAGTGTGGTCTAATACTATGCTCAAGATATAGAAAAATATACAGGGAATGAAAAGTTCAGAAAATGTTTGTTAAAAATTTCCTATTAAAGTTTTACTTATTACATTGTCACCTCTCATTATAACTAACTTCCAGAGGTTATATGTTATTGAAAGCCTTTATAATATCTACTTGTTTTGTTACCATTTTCATGAACAGTCTGTCATTCTTACGGTCCTTTTTTTCTGAAATACATATGTAATTCTTTAAGACCAAGGCAAAAGTATAGATATAAGAAGAAACATTCATTGACATTAGAGTTGTATGTTAATCATTCATGATAGATATCTTGTACTGATTGAAATCATGAGTCAGTTGAAGTTAGACTACCATGGAAAACCTGGAAGCACTGGACGGCCGTTTCTTCCTAGTGTGGAACTCCTCAGCAGTGCGCATCCATAATCCCCCACCCCCGCGAGATTCGAACCCAGGACCTACCAGTCTCGCTCCAGGTGCCTAACCAACCAGACCACTGAGCCGGCATCCAACGGTGTTAGTGTCTAACTTCAACCAATCCACGAATTTGAGCCACCATACACCATTGTCATCAGTGAGTTACTATCTCAAAACAGACCTGGTTAAACTTCACTAGTCACTATGTCTCACTAGAACTTCATGAAACACCTCTTGAATTCAGTCACTAGTGAGCATGTGTTGATGAATATCAGAACTGGTTGTGAAATTTCTAAAAATATCTTCACAAAACCCATTTTTATATCATTAAACCAACTATCTACTGTCTAATATCTTGATCTAATCACTAATATAATTGACTTGACATTGAAAATAAATGATATTAGATGATTGTAAGTAATTAATAGGAGTGAGTTTTGTTGTTGCTGTTGTTGTAAACTTCAAGTCTACTAGCCAACAAATTATAAATAGATAATTATACTACTGTAAAATTCAAAAAAAAAATTACTGAAACAGCTGTCCTGTCCATCCTAGTTCTCTTTTTTTGTTTTTTTTTCTTTCTAGAAATATAGGTCAGCAACCTATGAATGATGATGATGGTGATGATGGTGATGATGAAAACTACCTTTTAGATTTATCAAATTTTGCATAAAAATTATTAATTAAAACATATTGAAATTTATTTAATAACTTTTTTTCTTTTAATTTTTGAGGTTTAACATTTTAAATTATTGAAATATGAACATCACAATTCTCCTCATAGTTATCATTATCGTTGTCATGACCATTCATGTATATAATAATCACTTTATTCTAGTTGTGTGCTTTGTCCTTAGATGACATTTATAGAACAGCTGTTGTGTTCTAATTCATCTTACCACCGTCACAGTACACACACACACAGAGAGAGAGAGAGAGACAAGTATTTATAGCCCGGACACAATATCCTTCTACTAACAATAACATATATATATATATATATATATATATATATATATATATATATATATATATATATATATATATATATATATATGTATACAGGGTGTCTTATTTGCACACAAAAACATAAGCACGATTATTTTTTATTTGAAATAATCACCTAGATGAGGCCGATGAATCTCGTATATTCATACATTATTATTATTATTATTATCACAGGAGTTAGAGATTAACCGGAAGAAATAGGGAATAACGTGAACATCTTAAGAAATGACCGCAGATGCAAAATAACAAACAATTTCATGGTGGTTTATGTTGTGTTTAACCCCTTCCAAATTGTTTCTATATGTATATTGTTGTATTGACTATCCACTATTAATAATCATAACACAGTTGTCATCATTTAAATTTCTATATATTGAACTTCTTCTAATACAGTTTATTGTATTAACACTAATTTTTGTTTTCTACAATCTATGATGTTTGATTATAGTTAAAACAAATAATATGACCTTAGATTTAACACTAAATTTTTTTGTCTTTTCAACTATGGTTCACTTTTTTCCCTCTCTCTTCCTCTCTCTTCCTCTCCCTTCCTCTCCCTTCCTCTCCCTCCCTCTCTCTCCCTCTCTCTCCCTATTACACATACGTAATAGTCATCTAAATTTAGTTATCGTCATTACAGCGACCGAAGTAATCAACGATATATTTTTTCATACAGAGAATAGTAATTAATTGTTCATGTAGGTGAAAGAAAGTTATACATGTCCTTATTGTATATACATGGATATATAATCAACATTGTTATGTGTATTAACCATTTTTCTAATTTGGGAATAATTCAAAGTATACATATGCGTAACTAATAAAAGTGTATTGTATGTCATTGATATGTAGATTTTAATATTGTATGACAGGCGATATATAATGGATTCTATACAATAGTTGAATACTTTAAAAATGTTATAAATACGTAAAAGATAAGCCAACATATTAGGTGTATGTAGAAAGTCTTATGAACTTATTAATTCAATTCATTTAATGTTGTTTTACTTGTATCTTCCAATTGTTATTTAGCACTGCAATTGATCAGTCTCTTATTGGCATATATGTATTCTGTGCAGATTGCTTCGATATTATCTTAAGTCACAAGTATTATAAGCAAAGATGGATAGTACCTAGCAGTAGAATCTAGTAAGCACATTTAATTCTATTTGGGACTCATCAGATGGATGTACCTGCATCTCATAGTTGGTGTTCACTCTGGGACTCGAATCCATTACCGTTCGTTTCAAACACCATTGTGTTATCCACTTAACTACTGAGTCCTAATAGCCACTTGTTTGTGCAATGGGATGATGTTTAGGACTGCGATTGATCAGTCTTATGTCGGCATATGTGCATCCTGTGCAGATTGTCTCGATATTACCTTAAATCACAAGCTTTTTAACCAAAGATGGATAGTGGTGAGCAGTGGAATCTAGTTTGACCCGCGTTTCGTCCTATTTGGGACTCGTCAGCTAGATGTATCTGCATCTCACAGTTGGTATTCACTTTTGGACTCGAACCCACTACCATTTGCTTCAAACATCATTGCGTTATCCACTGAGCCACTTCCTTGTAAAATGGGGTGAATTTATACTTACTTGGTGTTGTTTTACTTGTATCTTCTTATTGTTATTTAGGACTGCAATTGATCAGTCTATTGTTGGCATATGTACATTAATTCAAATACTATGGTACAATATTAATGTCATATAATGATTGTGAATATAATTGGAAGTTTTTTATTTTGTTGTCTATTAGTTTAACCAACACAAGTTGACTAGCTTCGAGATGACGAATTTCATAAAATGTTCTAGTTAGTTAGTAACAAATAGTGGAGTGTAATCAATTGGAAAATAAAATAATCACTCATTAATGGCATTGGTTAAACATGAGAATGTATTATGAGCTGGATTATTAGATTCTCTATGTATTGTGATTGGTGAGGAAAACACAAAGGTCCTAGCTTGAAGTCATGACTGTGTTGATTGTTAAAAAGTCTTGAACTAGAACGAAATAGCTGTACAATGTTTTATCAGTTAGCGTCGCAGAACTAGTAAAATGAACTACAGTAAAATTATATAAACCTCTCTATATGGTATTCTTTTTTCAAGTGAGATCCTGAAGGTATCTGAAATTGTTTGCTCTAAATGTATTAGTGTAACACACTTCAACAGTCTTCGTAAAAAAAACACAAAGATGATGAAAATTACACCTTGGAATAATATCTCTAATGAAAATCACACTATAATTTTCAGTACTCACTCACTAAACGAATAGAGGATTTCTGAAAATGCTGAAAATGACACACATATCGAACATTGAAAACGTTGCATGTAACCTCGCTCCTATTACTTTATGGTTACTAGTAGTAAATTGTTTGTGCACGTTAGAAACATCTAGTGATCAATGTTATGGTTAGGAATATGCCACTAAGTAAGAATGGTAAACCAGTTGATGAAGTAGTTAATCTTTATTTACTGGAGTGATTGGGATATGTATTATTTTTATCCAACCAAGACCAACCTAGATGAGTGATGTTAGCTAGTGTATGGGTAGAATAGAAAACAGCTGGGGAAGCCCGAACCAAGGAGTGATATAAATCTATGAATTCATCGACTGACGACCCGAGCCGTGTTGTTTGTGGTTGACTCGATTATCACAATCAATATTTGGAGACCTTGAGTAAAATGGCTCAGAATCAGTCGACTATTTGTCTTACCTTAGGTCGTGAGTTTTGAAATTATCCCACACACTTTAGTCTCGGATTTATTCTTTCTTCTATTATGTTATATTTGCCTAATTGATATTGTTATCACTTCCACTACTCTGGTATTTGTCCTGATAATCCACCGCATATATGTCAATTTCTACGTCGTCCATGTCCTGTATCGAGAGGTGTAAACTTCCAATTTAATGTCTATGAAATAGTTATAATCTACAATTAGATATCTCAGCTTGAAATCCAGCAGTCGTAACTTAATGATGATAGTTATTCGAATCGTTGTTTATGTCATTTGTGATCGAAATAGTTTCACAAGTTATGTTTTTCCACGTAGATCTTGCCTGAAATATGTCATCAAGTCAGTCATTTTGAAGCCAAGTAAAACTATATCCATTTCTTTCTTGTATGGGATACTTTTGCTATATACATCTACGACCTCCTATGAGGATTGAATCCAGGACCTTCAGGTTTGATATATTGTGACCACCTGTCAGATCACTGTATTTGCAATGTTGTGAAGCCGACTCGGTAGTTTAAAAATTAAGCCGTCGTTGCCAGACCTGAAGGCCTTGAGTGAATGTGTACTTTTGAGGAGTCCTACACTAGGACGAAACAGCTATCCAGATCTCCCTGGTTTTCCAGGGGTGTTTTAATCAAGACCAATCAATGATGCAAACTGTGGAAATCTAACAATATCCACAAGACCCCTATACTTAATTTTTTAAATTTTTACTATATTAACGTCTAATTTCAATCATCAAATTTTCTTCAATTCACGCCTGTGTTACTGTTGCTCATTATCGATTGCCTTTATTATTAAATGTAACTGAACTTAAGAGGTCATTGGCTCACTTTATTTCCTTGCTCTTCTCTTTCTAGATTTATGCTCTCCACACTACAGTAGCACACGATGTACCTTTAGTCTGAAAGTCAATTCCTACATATTTTGTATTTCATCAGGGTTAATTTACTTCTAAGGCAACAATTACTGATCTAACTATCTACCGGTTTTAGTTGGTCAGTCTTAGAAAATATGAGACTTTGGATACAATTATGTATCAATCCAAATTATCAATATACAGACAAAGAGGAAATATTGCATAAAATGAAGGCTACAGAGGAGAAGAAAAATTAAATGAGACTAAAGAATGAAGATAGTTTAAAAGTAATATTCAACTCAAGATTGTATCGTGTAACACTGGTCAATTAAACTGGTAGGTTGGAAAGTAACTAGTGGAATAAATTTGATTTTAATCAGGTTGTTTAGTGTAAAATAAGTCCAGGTTTCGTGCTATTTGACACTTGTCAGCAAGGCGTACTTGAGACCTGGGAGCAGATGATGCTTACTGAGGGAGTTCAACCTTCCACTACCAGTTTCACAGTTTGAGGTATATGACGCTGAGTTAATCATACTATGAAAGTGAAAATATTCATTTTAACTAGAATAAACTATTTATCTAGGCGTTACGTGACGTCTCTCATAAATTGAGACAATGTTAGATCTGAGTAAGATGGTACAAAGTCATAAAAAGTACCTAATAAAATTTTTGCAACACTACTGTGTGTATGTCCACACTTACGTGTAATGATAATAATCCTTCTCTAGTTTTTACTAAAAGTACAATATCTATCATATTCAAACATCTAACCATTCATTTAGTAGGTTAGTACTGCATATATGAATGGAATTTTTACTAGGGATTTCAATTTGACTATCTAAAGTCATCTACACACAGCTTCTACGAACAGGACCTATATATTCAACATTGAAAAGTAGATACACTACAAATTTACTGATACACATCCTATCCTCATACTTACTTAAATATTGTAATAATGACATGCGATTCTCATTCAAAGCTTTTAAAAAAAAATTTAATATACAGTTTTGTATTCATTGTTTTAATAGTACCATGCTTCATTGCATAATTCGGAGGCTTTTCTATTGATAATTCATTAGAGTTAATAATAAAATAGAAGATTTGTACGTCAATCTAGTCTTTTTTTCCAGAACTCGTCAGATCGTTCTGATCGTTTACTAGAATGTCATTGTTTTTATAAAATATATTCCAAAGTTAGTTAGTCGATGTAGGAGGAATAATAGGAATTGAAGAGAGAGGTTGATTATGAATACAGTGGTCTTGAGTGCTGTTAGAGGTATGAGGACGGTTATCACTTCCCGGTTGCCCACACCGTGGAAGGGTTCTTCTGGAGGTACCTGGAAAGGAAGTTGGATTAGAGGTGGTCTTAATGACCTGAGAGTGTGACCGCAGTGCCCAAGGGACAACTGCTTGAGGTCGGTCATACACGACCTTTTTATGGGTAATTTTTGTGTTAGCTCCGTACTTGTTGAGACCTTACCACCGGAGACGAATATCCATGGGATAAGGCGAGGTGTGCATTTTTAGGGATGTGTAAATTATTCATTTAGAAACATTTTTGCAAGAGACAGAGAGATTCTCTGGGTCAACTTAAATTTAGCATTTTAACATATGAATTAACATCAGTAAGCAAAAAAACCTCCTTCCTAGTTTGAAACTAATGACTATTAAACACTTAATTCAAAGCTGTCGAAAAACGTAGTGATTAGATCGACTCAATAGCTCAGTGAACAATATGTTATATTTTGGTGCGATAAATGCCGACTACAAGTCCTAGCATGAACATCGACATTGGGATACAGGTACATCCAACTGACAAATCCCAAACATAACGAAATGTACTTACTCTGAATTCTATTGTTAGTGACAATCCATATTTACTATGATGCAATCAATTGTTCTACTTTTTTACATTGCATATTGATGTACACATTAAAATGGATTAAATATTTAGTGAGTGACAAATGTTTATATCGAATAGTAGCCAACATCTTATTAGTGTAATTGTAAGTACTGATAGAATTCTCTTAATTAGTTTAAATGATTTGATATCCATTATATGTTTCAGTGTTTCGACAGTTTGTGGTAATCATATAGAATCTCTGTTTAACCCGTTTCATAACTGAGTTGGACCTCATCAACATGGAAACGTATGTGCTATTTTTAGAGAAATAATGCTTCCAGTAGGATATTGATATAAATCATGTAGTCTGAAGTCAAGCTATGTTTGTTAGTGGCTAGATGTACCTGCATCGCAGTATTTATATTCATACAAGGACTCGAATGTAATGCCTTTCACTTCAAACGCCCAGAGTTTAATCCAATTAGTTATTAAGTTAGAATAACTTCTAACTTGTGCATTTTAATTCAAACCCAAACTAATGAATTGATTAGCAAATTTTGACTTTGATCTTTTCCTTACGGAGACTTGATAAGTAACCATTTTTATGATAAATATGTAAATACCCTATACAGTATTCCAAGTATACATTTTCAGCGCTTCCAATGAACGGTTTTAACACCTGAAGAGATAATATACATAGAATGATATTTTTTTATTGGTTTCATTACCTTCGATTTATGAGATATGTGAATATTATTGATTGACGATGCTGTGCATTACTTTCAAATGTTCTACAGTCTATCCAAAAAAAGATATCAATGGTGAGATGGGTGAGATACGTGAACAACCGTAAGATTGGGCGTTAAAATATCAACTAAACGATTAACGTAGTTAGAATACCGTTTCCGTTCTTATTATCCAACCCTAATGCTAACTATTTGTTGATAATGTTGATTTGGAGTAGAGTTTGAGGGGTCAAAAGTTTTATAGTGATTTATTTTCATTCATATATTTTGTTAGTGCTTCTTGATCTTTCTTTTATACGAAAAGGATCAACTTAAACAGCATTGTACAACATTATTATATTTCGTTCGACATTTTATTATTAAAAGTCGGTGAATTATTTTCGGTTATTCGAAGTATTTGAAAAAAGCATACATTTTGGTAACAATCGACCGTATCATAGTTTTCCCAGTATGGATTTATGGAGATTGTTGTTGTAGATTCATATCATGAATGGATCAATGTTAGATCACCATTGAAAACCTGGAAGCACGAGTTTCGCCTGCAGGATCGTGGATGCGCACTGCAAAACGGCCGTCCAGTCCTTCCAGGTTTACAATGGTGGTCTAGCATTGATCCATTCATTATATCAATTTAAACATATAATAGTTTCTTAGAACAAAATTAACAAAGTTAACAAAAGGCTTACAATGAAACTATAACTTTTGAAGAATGAAAAACTTATGAAACTGTACTTATGTGGTGAGGTACACATAAAAAGAAACTATTGACTTACTGAATTTGATTTATCAACCATGTCTGCTTGAGATTTTGTATTACAAGAATTAATAGTAGTGGCATCCCTACGAATGTTATGATTATTGTTCCACGGAGAATTTTCATTATTTCTAAATGAAAGACTATGATTTGATGCTACTGATGATGATGATGACGACGACGAATTGGATGGAGATAATGGTGGTGATTTCGATGAGGTCAATGAGCAATGATCATGCTTAATAGAATTTGAATGGTTACTATGTGTTGATTGCATGCTATCAAAACTGATTGAAGTTTTAGATCTTTGCTCAATTATTGGACATTGATTATTCATATCCGACAATGGATTCAATGCTTCATTTTTCGTTGAACATCTTCCTTGTTGTTGCTGCTGTAAATCCCCATTTATGGAAATATGATTTTGATCTTTTAAAGAAGAATTTCCCCGGTTATTATTGATATTATTATTATTATTGGAACTTTCACTTGGTGACCATGATGTATGCTTGATACTACTACTGTTATTACTACCAATACTATCAGTAGTATTATCGTCATCAACTAAAGAATTTATATCAGGTCTTTGTGTATTTTGTTGTTGTTGATTCAATTTTGACGAACGATTGCCATTGCTAATTGAATTATTGAAACGATTTGAATTTGTACATAAATTTGATGACATTTCAGTAGAAGTACTGGTAGTATTACTAATAGTAGTATTATTGTTATTATTATTATCTATGATTGATAAATGATGATTTTTGTTTAATTGTCGAGCCGATAATTTCTGTCCCGTTCTTTGTTGTCTTTGTTGTTGTTGTTGTTGCTGTGGTTGGGATAGTAAATCACACATCGGCGGAATAAGAGAAAAAAAACTATAGGAAACAATTTTGACAATATGAACGAGTTTTTTCTCGATCTAAAAACTATTTGTGTGTGAAATAATCCAATTGAATGCTAGAAATAAATATGAAAGTAGAAATGACAATGAAAGCAACTAATTAGTCAATTAATCAAATTATTGATGAATAATTACCCTAGATATCGGAAATTCTCAATCTATATTAAAAACAAGGAAGGATTGTATAGCTACTTTGTTCCCATGATAGGAATCGTATATCAGAAATATAAATCGTTGGATATCAAATCTGATCTAAAGGTTGAGGTTGTAACTTGTCACCTTACAGTTCTAGATTTAATCCGTGGTACGATTATTGATTTGAACTGGGGAGGAGTCCTATACTAAAACGAAACTTCTATCTAGTGGTTCCTGGTTGTCAATGGTTATCTATTCAAACTCAATCCATGATTACAAACTTACAAAAAAACTTGCATTTTCTTATCTAACTTATACCAATAGTTTACTAAATTTTACGTGATGAAGTTTATATCATCAGTCTGATCTGTTTATTCTATTTTAACGAAATGTTTCATCTGGGTTAGATTTCCGTCAAGGTCATCAATACATACTGTTGAAAATTCTTAAGCTAGATTGAAAAATCTGTCCAATGATTCCTTGTTTTCACTCGTGTTACAACAAAGGTAATAATTATCTCCTCACTAGTAACTGACTTCAAGAGATACTCCTGCAGTTCTAGTGAGAAGCCGTTACCAGTGGAGCTCAACCAGGTCTGTTGTGAGATATCAACTCACTGAAGACAATGGTGTACGATGGCGCAACTTCGTGGATTGGTTGAAGTTAGACATTAACACCGTTGGATTCTGGTCGGTTCAGTGGTCTAGTTGGTTAAGCGCCTGGCACGAGGCTGATAGGTCCTGGGTTCGGACCTCGCGGGATGCGGGGTCGTAGATCCGCACTGCTGAGGGTGAAACGGCCGCCCAGTGGTCCCAGGTTTTCCATGGTGGTCTAGCTCCAATTGACTCATGATTTCAACCAATGAAAGATTAATTTTTCGCAAATACGATCTATGAATAAAATATTCATGAAAGTATACCTTTCAACAGCTTGAAATTCTATTACCTTTTTACTAAGCTATTGATATCTTTCTATCATTCTATAATTTTTAAAAAACATCAAATAATCCTTCATTTATAAACAAATTAAATGAAGGCTTGCCTCAATTCACTAAACTTTCTATCGTTCTTAGTTGCATCATATAATTATTAACATTGATAATATAGACTTCTGGATATTCACATAAATAACTCTCATTGGTGTCTTGATCCCGGGCTTTGGCCTGAATGTTATGTGTTACAACTCATCAACATATACATTATTAAAGATTGTCAAACTGAAAGTGAACAATTGTATCAGTCACCGTGCGAAACACCTCTAGGATTACTGGCATTCCGAAACCAGGGTAACGAAGTAAAGTTGGTTATAAGGTTAGCAAAACTTATCTCAAGAGATAAAAACCTTGCTACAAAAACGCTAACCAGAAAAAAGTCACTTAAATCAATAGTCTGCGGTCTATGTTCTAAGAGGGGGCAATAAGCTTAAGTAAGTAAACAATCTCTGGATGAATATTTACTAAATATATGGTAACTATAATACTTCTCAATGATAATAATCGCTAAACATATTCATTCAAAGTAGTTACTGAAGATATTAATGTTCGACTAATAGACTAGTGGTTTAAACCTCAGTCCAACTACATTGATTTTGGAGATTGATTAGTAAGAACAAGGAAGATTAGTTCAGAGAATGATTCGCTTTTCCATGAATTCATTCGTAAATCATAAAAACTACATAGATATATACTTTTTACTTAGATGATAAGCAACATATTGGTTAACAGTAATCATAGTAACAAATCACTTAACCTTGTAACCGAGAGAATATAAATAAAAACACGAAAATACGATTTTTAATTTAAGAAATTGAAGACTTATTAGGATCAACATTATTCATTAGAACAAAACAGATAAAGACAAGATAAGTGTAGAAGAAGGTTAAGTAATATGATAAGATGAAATGTTAAAGTGGTAACAGAAATAACTCAATTATTTTAGGGGCAACATCAATAAAGAAGGCGACAGTGGAAAGGTAAACTATAGGTTAAGACTATGATAATGGAAAACGTCCAATGAATTTTTTAAAAATATATTTCTGATTTTGCTAGATTTTTAGCGAAACCATAGACAATACTAACAAAACATACAAATAAACATAGTATTGAATATCTTCATAGAAATTCGCATATATATAAAGTTGTAGGGACTTAAGAATAAGTTAATCGACAGACGAACTCTTTATTGAACTAATCTTTCTTGTTTTTATATCATAATAGATGTAATACATTGATTAAATAACAAATTAGTAATACTAGTCCTTATATTATATATGTATATAATGTTTGCATCTCAACGTTAATTATTTAACCTCAAAACTCCGCCTCGAGCCCCTCTGAAGCTACTGCCGATCCCAAGCCAGGATAAAGGAGGAGGGTCGAGTATGAGGTTACTGACCCCAAAAAACGTTAACCAGAAAAAATATCTAACTATAATGTAAGTGTAAAATATGTCGCGATTGGAAGTTATTGCTTTAATTATTCGAATCATAAATTGGATTTACTCTTATCAATGTAAATTACAGATTAATAATAATAATAACTTACATAATGGTAATGAGAAATGAAGTAATTAATGATTGTTACAATTGATCACAAATAATATGTCAAGAAGTGTATATTAATATCACGTTGTAGCACCTTAGTGATTGGATCCAAATTGAAACATTGCACATATATATTCACTCATACATATCTTGACAATCGTCAAATTAGTAACTTAATAAGGTTTATAGTTGGTGTATATATGTATATATAATCGAAAGTAAAAGTATTTCGTTATTATTTATTCCTTACAACAACAACAACAACAAAAAATGTAATAATTTGATTTGTGCTTCTGTCAACATATCGAAAATATTTATTCCATGCATACATACATACATACATACCTGCATACATACATAAATATACAGTAGTTGTACACATACAAATTACCCCTTTCATTTTTTTCTCTATGCATCATTTGCTTACTGGTATATTTATTCATTGAATTTATTATTTAAAACATTTAGTTTAATTCAGATTGGACAAAATTAAAAGGGGTTTGTTAATGATAATCACCATCACCATTACCATCATGATCATGATCATCATCATCATCATCATCATCATCTCCATCGTCATCATTATCAATAGGTCTGTTTAGGAATCATTTATGATTTTTGTTTTTTGCTTGTGAAAAATATATTTATAACCCCCTCCCCCCCATTCCCTATATTTATTAAAAATTCTTTCCAATGGATACATGAAAAATAATTCTTCCAATCATATGTGTATAAAATATAAACACACACACACACACTCACATGTATATACACACACTTATCATTAATGGACAACAGAAAAAAGTATGGTTATAAACACACACAGACACACAAATTTGTTTGTGTGCATCTATGATATGATAGTTTAATGTTTTTCAACTTCTTTTCTGGTTGATATTTCAATTTTTTTCGAAGTAAAACAAAAAAAAAGAAGAGAGAAATCCTAGTTAACAACGTTTTTTTCTCTCTCGATTGCTTCTTCATCGCCTGTATTACTTACTCTCTTATCACATTAAATAGATTGATATACCGATTTTTGTTCACTTTATTAGTAAGAGGGAAATTTCTACCTAAAAATATGTCTGTATATGAATATGTGTGGTCATTAGTATAAAAGGGAGAGAGAGAGAGAGAGAGCGGAAGAGAATTTGTTAGTTAAATAGTTGCGCTAGCTAATGAATTAAATGGAACATTTATGGCGAACAGTGAAACAAGAATGAGATTGATTCTTTATAGAATTTATCATTGATTAATCTTAATTACACAACCGATCAAAGACAAAAATCACTGGATTTGATGTTTCATCTTGAGTTCAAACTTTTATGGTGGTAGGTCGTGAACATACACTACTACGAGGTCACTTACTAAGACGAAACAACTGTCCGGTGCTTCTGGTTTCAGTAATCGACTAACTAAGCTTATCGTCAATAATCCAACCTATGAACATAAAACTATACCCTATATTATTATTCTTTCCCTTTCAACAATACATACATAAACACAAAGTGATTGACAAAATCACAACTATTAACCTCTTCGTTATATTTAACTTCCATTAATATTTTACAAGAATATTTCATGATATATCATTTCATATTCTTAATAGTTTTTTTTTTCGTCATCATTTTGTCAATCCATACCCCTATCGTGTCAAACCTTTGAACAATTCTGATTGGATTAAAATTAATCACTATGTTAAGAAAACAGAAAACAATAAACGTTAAGTAGAAAATTACTTATTCAGAGTGAATATATATATTCATCAAGTTGTTTTGTTCGAATTCAATATTCAATTTACTATCTATAACAGTATATTACAACGTGATAGAATAAAAGTGTTATTCGTCATTATATTGGTACTACTAATAAACAATTTTTATAGTAGTATATGACCTCACTTAATATATCTTTTAACTTAAAAAACAATGATAATGTTTATATGATTAGTTTGACTAGACTAATTTCATGATGACATCTAAATTATTTTTAAAGAAACAGTTGGTTGTTAATATCAGTCAGATGACAGGAAGTCTGTTAAGAATTCACGTGGAAAATGTTGGGATACGGTAAAATGTGGTTAAAAGTTGAATATGACTGGAGTGAAATAAGCATGTATATATATATATATATATATATATATATATATATATCCCGACCATAGTTGCTACCTTGACGTGGTGGTCGGGCTTGCCAATCGTAATGAAGCAACCAGGCTACACTGGCTAGAACAACCGTTCCTCAAGGTCCTACCATGTCAGACAGGTTGGTTGAAGAACGGTAAGACTTAAAGTAGCAAACTCAAGGTTCGAAGGCGAAGTCGCACTGTTGACTGTACAGAGGTGTGACAGCACTAAGGTGTTTCCTTCAGATAACCAGTATAACAGCGATGCTGCTTTCCGACAAAGAAGGCTAGGGTCAGAAAAGGTCGACCCTAAAATGCACACCTCGCCTTATCCCATGGAGATCCGTCTCCGGTGGTAAGGTCTCAACAAGTACGGAGCTAATAAGAAAATTACTCACAAAAACATTGTGTGTGACCGATCTCAAGCAGTTGTCCCTTGGGCACTGCGGTCACACTCTCAGGTTACTAAGACCACCTCTAATCCAACTTCCTTTTCAGGTACCTCCAGAAGAACCCTTCCACGGTGTGGGCAACCGGGAAGTGATAACCGTCCTCATACCTCTAACAGCATTCAAGACCATTGTATTCATATATATGTACAGGAGCAACAATAAACCAACAGCTTGTTAACTGCATTTTGTAATGACTGAATTCATGATTCAATGTAAGTTAGACCGCCAATGAAAACCTCGAGGCCCTAGACGGCCGTTTCGTCCTAGTATGGGACTCCTGAGACACATGTATTCTACTAATAAAATCACTACGATCTTCACAAACCCCCATTCCAAAAATAATTGGATTTTTTATCAAAATTTTGTTGATACTTGAATAACGGTTTAAATTAGGATTAGTTTGCTTTCCTTTAGATGAACCGAACAGGTGTAGAATTTATTATTGTCAGGAAGAAGCAAAAATATAGCTCGGTCATTTAGTTGGTTAGATTTACAAAGTTTTCATGGTTTCCATCAACATAGAAATCACTTTTCATGAAGGAAACATAGATAATTAAAGCATCATAAATAAAGATACTAAAGCCAGTCTGCCAAGAAAACTGATGCTTTTTGACGAATTATTAAAGGACCCGCATAAGTCACCTGTTAGTTTCCTCATTTCTTTAACCTGAATTACGGAAAAAATATTCAAGACTCAAGAGAACATGATCCAGGACTATTTTTCTTCACAAAGAGGAACGAATTAACAAAGATAACCAATTCACATGTTGGCATCACCCCCCCCTACAGCACCCAAATCAAAAGTGTCAAGAAAATGGAAATATGTAATTCAACAGTTTAATCATACATGTTAGTTCATCTATTAGTTCTGTAAATTTTATAGATGGATTAAATTACTGATCAATTTTTGTCAAATGCTGCCGGTTCAGTATATTCCAATTTGACTACTGATCAGTTATTTAAGTCATGTATAATACTAAATTTTTGAAATAGTTTCTAAATCACTGGTTGTTGCATAAACAAATTTTCATCTAAAATCTTAAAATCTCCTATGAATCCGGCTGTATCAGTCCTTGTTCCCTTTTAGGAAGTAGTAAATAACAGTATATTCTGTGGTCATAATAAATATTTACACCAACATTCTATCGACTAACAATCATTGTAAGCCATTGTTTTATAGCATTTTAGTTTAGTGTAGTTTATGTTTACTCAATGCAGGTTCATGTAGTTCAACTTTGAACACTCACCTGCCCAAAATGGAATACATGAATAGTGAGGGAGTCAAACTTACAGGTTATTAACTTAGATTTGAGTAATTGAACCACCAACCTAACTCTATGCTTGATTAGCTCTTAATTGACAAACAATTACTCCATCAAAAATTCTTCTTTTATTTAGTTTCATCAACTTGTAATTATCAAATTGAAAAGTTACTTACTTACGCCTGTTACTCATCGTGGAGGAGCAGAGGACACCCATAAGTACTCTCCATCCTACCCTGTCCAAAATAATCCTTTCCAGCTCTTTCCAGTTGTTATCCATCCTTTTCAAATCTACTTCTGTTTCCCGACGTTATTTGGTCTTTCTTATTTCCGTTAATCTTCAGGATTTCAAGTTGCCCCCAAATGCCCTGGTATGGCCGAGAGTGGGGTGGGTCCGCCCTCCCTCTCGAAATGCTCTCATATAGCCACGCGTATATAGCCTCTGCCAGGGAAGTCCTGCTCACTGCCTTCTCGTGGCGGGGGTGTTCTTTACGAAAATGAGAGGACGAAAAGCGAATGTCCGGCGCTATAACCGGATCACAAACCAATGGTGCACATGGGCTCCAGTATCCTGTGGGAACAAATGGCGTATGAACCGATCGTTGGTCACCGGCTACCATGGGAATGCATCCCCTCACGATACTCCACTGCCTTGTGGATCAGACCTTTAGGTCAAAGGCTTGGGGTGTGGCCCCCTAAGATAATCACCTGCTTCGGTCTGGGCACCCGGACAGTATCACAACCCACACACACAAATATGGTGTGGCGCATATATATTTGGTGCCCTCATGTGTTGAAATAAATAAATAAATAAATAAGGATTTCAAGTTAGGACTTGCCTTGTGACACAGTTTGGTGATTTTATCAATGTATGTCCTATCCACCCACTACATCATCTCCTAATTTCCCCTTTAGCTGGAAGCTGGTTTGTTCTCTCTCGCAGAAGGCTGTTTCTGATGGTATCCGACCACTGGGTGTTGAGCATCTTGCGTAGATAACTATTTATAAATACTTGTACCTTCTTGATGATGGTTGTAGTAGTTCTCCCATTTTCAGCTCTGCACAGTAGAACTATCTTGACGTTTGTATTGAACATTGTGGTTTTGATATTGATTGACAGATAGTTGTTTTGAGTTTCATATGTTCTTCAATTGTAGGAATGCGGCCCTTGCTTTGCCAATCCTCGCCTTTACATCTGCATCTGTTCCTCCCTGTTCATGGATGATACTTCCCAGATACGTGGAGTATTCCATATCTTCTAGAGTTTCTCCATCAAGTGTGATTGTGTCGGTTGGTGT